CTGGGACGGGGGGGCTGCAGCTCCCCTGGGTCAGCCCAGGCCTTTCCTTGGAGGGGGAACCCCGAATTTGGCAGCCTGGCACCCAGGACAGGCTGCAGGACCCCCGGGGAAGGGCCAGGCCTTGGGGAGGAGCCCACGGCCACCCCACAGCCCCAGCCCCAGCCCCTCTGCTCCCCCCGGGGGCGGTCAGGGGGTCTGGACGGGCACAGCTCCGGGGCTCTGGGCACCTCGGGGGGGTGCAGGGATGGGGAGCAGCGCCCGGTGTTGATGCCGGGCCGGGGGGAGTTCAGGGGCACCGGGAATCCCGGGGGAGGCGAGGCTGCCCTGCAGCCACCGCGGGCTCCATCGCCGCCCCGGGGGGCCCGGGGGGGCTCAAGGGGACCGGAGGGTTCGGGGTGTGGGGGCTCCTGAGGGGCAGGGGGGTCTCAGGGACGCACCTGAAGTCGGGCAGGCTCAGCTGCAGCTTCTTCCGCGCCCGGTTCCGGGTGATGTAGTTGGTGGCGGCTCCGCGCTCGTACTGCGGAGAGACGGGGGCGCTGAGGGGACCCCCGGGAGCGGGGCGGGAGGAGAGACGGGGACCGGGGGATGGCGGGGCTGGAAGGGGGCACCGGGAGAGGGAGCGAGCGCCGCTCCCGGGGAGGGCGGCAGGGGCACCGGGGCGGGGGGAGCAGCCAGGAGCGGCACAGGGTGGCAGGGAGCGGGCAGGGAGGGGCAGGGGCAGGGCGGAAAGAGCGGCGGGACGGGCCCGGTACCTTCTTCTTCTCCAGCCCGCCCATGGCGCCGCCGCCGCGTGCGCCCGCGCCGCGCAGGACCCCGCGCTGCCCGCGCCGCGCCTGCGCCCGCCGCCGGGCCCGAGCGCGCCGCAGCGGCCCCGCGCGGGCACCGAGCGCGGCGCGGGCACCGCCAGCACCGCGGGCACCGAGCGCAGCCCGGGCAGAACGAGCGGCCGGGCCGGGGCAGGCGGCACCGGCGGTTCAGTCAGGCGCGCCGCGGGCAGCCCTCAGCCTCAGCAGGAGGGGTCCTGTGGCACGGCTGGCGCGGTGCATGCCGGGATACAACGGGGCACCGGGGCGCGGTGCATGACGGGATACACCGGGGCGGGCCCGGCGGTCCCGGTTCCCGGTCGGTTCCCCGTTCTCGGTCTCGGCCCGGGGTCGGTTCCGGTTCTCGGTCCCGCCCCGGGGTCGGTTCCGGTTCTCGGTCCCGCCCCGGGATCGCGGCCGCGGGTCGCTGCCCGGGCCCGCGGGTCTCGCTGCCCTCCCGTGCTCCCTTCAGGCACCGGCCTGGGCCCCACAGCGTGTGTGGGGAGCTCCCGGGGTCTCGGTGCCCGGGGGTCCCCGGGCCGGCGGGACGCAGCCCCGGCGGTGCCGGGATTCCCTCCCGGGCTCGGGATTCGCTTTGGAGGCTCAGGCCGCCGCGGCCGCCCCGCAGGGCGAGTTCCACGTCCCGGGGCTCAGGACCGCCACACCCCCCGGTTTTAGGGTTTTTTTGGGGGGTTTTGCCCCCTCCCCGCCTGTCCCGCTGCTGCCGCTGCTCAATCTCCGCGTTCTCGATTAAATAAATCCTGCTCGGAGGCGAGCGTGCGATTCTCCTCCGGAGGGTTTGGCCGGGATTTCAGCCCCGTCTGTTTTCGGGCTGTGGCCGCCGGCGTTGCACCGAGCAGCGGCGCCTCGGGTCGGTCTGTCCCGGGCAGGGTGTCCCGGTGTGTCCCGGTGTGTCCCGGGCAGGGTGTCCCGGTGTGCCCCCGGCAGGGTGTCCGGTGTGTCCCGGGCGGGGTGTCCCGGTGTGTCGCGGTGTGTCCCGGGCTGTCCCGGGCAGGGTGTCCGGTGTGTCCCGGTGTGTCCCGGGCTGTCCCGGGCAGGGTGTCCCGGTGTGTCCCGGTGTGTCCCGGGCAGGGTGTCCGGTGTGTCCCGGGCAGGGTGTCCCGGGCAGGGTGTCCGGTGTGTCCCGGTCTGCCCCGGGCAGGGTGTCCCGGTGTGTCCCGGGCTGTCCCCAGCTGCCCGGGGCAGGCTGTCCCGAACCGCCCGGGCGTGTCCCCGCCGCCCCGGGCTGCGCCTCAGCCGGACTCGTGCCCCGTGTGTTTGTGCTGACTCGGCTCCGGCGTGCGGAAGCGGCCTCTCGCCACACCTTCCCGAGCTGTCCCCGCTGCCGGCGGGGCTGTGCCACCGCCGTGTCCCCGGTCCCTCCGCCATGGGGCTGCCGCTCGTCCCGCTGCTGCCGCTGCTGCTGCTGCTGCTGCCCGCCCGCTGCTGCGGTGAGTGCGGCCCCGGCCCCCAAACCTGCCCGGCACCCCCGGGCCGGGGCTCCCCGGGCTCGCCCTGAGCTCCGGGGGTACCGGAGGAGCGGGGCTGGGGGTGAGCAGCCCCATCTCCAGCCCCTCGTGACGAATTCTCCGGGGCTCAGCGCCTCTCAACCCCACCCGTGCCCACCCCTCCCACGGGTCCCTGGGGGCAGAGGTGTCACCCCAGACCCCTGCCACCCCTCGGGCTCTCTGTGCTCCTCTCCGTGTCACTTCCTTGTCTCTTCCTCTTCTTTTTTGCCGGGAAATTTGGAGGTTTTGGGATTTGGGGGGTGCGTGGATGGGTGGGTGCTGGGGGTCCCTCCCCAGCGCGGCCCCGCACAGCTCTGGGGGGGCTGTGGAGCTGCAGGGCCGTGCCCGGGGGGCTCTCCGCTGACCTGTGCTGCCCCTCGGGGCCGGGCAGAGCCCCCGGAGGGCTCGGCGGGCGCCGTGCGGGCGCTGAGTGCGCGGCTGCTGGGGCTGGCGGGGGACCCCACGCGGGACCCCGACCCCGCCGTGTACCTGGCGCTGCGCCTGGCCCGCCAGCACGAGCCGCGGCTGGAGCAGCGCTACCTGGAGCGGCTGCAGGACACCTTCCAGCGCCCCTTCGGCAGGTGGGTGCGTGCCCGGGGTCCCCGCGCGCCTTCGGGGCCGCTCCTGTCACCCACACTGATCCTGTCCCCGCAGGAGCCTGCAGGGCCACGGCCGCTCGCGGTGGGACGCTGAGCGCAGCAGGTAGGTGTGGGTGTCCCGAGGTCCCCTCGGGGCTGGTGACACCCGGGCGGTGTCCTGGGAGGTGCCGGTGCCTTGCAGGAGCGCGGCGGAGCCCCCGCAGACGGGGCGGCTGGCACTGTACCTGCTGGGGCTGCAGGCCGCCTGTCCCCCGCTCGGCCCTCATCGCTCGCTGGTGACGTGGCTCAAGTACTACCTGGAGGAGGACTGGACAGGTGAGAGTGTCCCTGGGGTGAGTGCCCAGCTGTGAGGTGCCAGCTCGCCCTGGTGACACTGTGTACTGTCCCCAGGCTCCCGGCAGCAAGGCCACCCCATCACCAGTTACTACCAGTACGGGCTGGGCGTGCTGGCGCTGTGCGTGCACCACAAGCGGGTGCGGGAGGAGGTGGTCCGGCGGCTCCTCACGGCCCAGCGCCGTGGAAAGCTCGGGCACGGTGGCAACTCCGTGGGTAAGGGCCCGTGGGCGCGGGGGTGGCGCCCCGGCGGGTGTGTGACTCCGGGGTGACACCGGGCTGTCCCTGCAGACACCGAGGCCGTGCTGGCGCTGGCCTTCACCTGCCTGGAGCGGAGGAGGTTGGTGGGGACCGAGCTGGCGGCCGAGCTCCGGGTGGCCGCACACGAGGCCAGCAGGAACATGGCCAAGGCTCAGGGCCCCGACGGCGTCATCGGCAACATCTACAGCACGCCGTGGGCCCTGCAGGTGGGTGTCACCTGAGGGGACATCTGGGCTGGCACTGGGAACGGGCATGGGGGAAGTGGGTCTGCAGATACGGGTGTGGGTGCCCAGGCAGATGCAGCTGCCGTGGGGCAGGTGGTGCTCAGCAGTGCAGTGCCCAGGCACACAACCCTCCTCCCTCTTCCACCCACCTCCATCCCTCCCTCCCTGCCCCAGGTGTTCCTGGCCACGGGCGAGTGCCAGACGGAGCCGGCGTTCGGCCAGGCCATGGCTGCGCTGCTGGAGAAGCTGGACGCCTTCGGCAGCGCCGCCACCATGGCCCAGGTGCTGCCGGTGCTGCACGGCCGCTCCTACCTGGACATCGCCTCCATGCACTGCGGGGAGGAGCCAGGTGGGAGCTGGGCTAACGGGACTGGGGTCAGCATGGTGTCCCCACAGGAGGGCCTGGGTGTCACTAGTGCTGTGGTGGCTTCTGGCAGACACGCTGACACCCCTGGACATGGAGCCCCTGGCTGAGGTGCCGGGGAACAAGAAGGTGCAGCTGGTGGTGGAGTGTCCCCTGCCCTGGTGCTACGATCTCAAACTCTACGACCGCCTGGTGCCCGTGCCCGCTGCCGCCTCCCTCCTGGACGTGCTGCAGGCGGCTGCTGCGCTGGACCCCCGTGACTTCAGGTATGTGGGGGTCACGCTGTGGTGGCCACGTGCCCTGCAGCTGGGCCCTGTGCCAGGCTCACTGCGGCTCCCAGCGCACAGCTCCCATGGGAGCAGCTCCCAGCGCACAGCTCCCATGGGAGCAGCTCTGTGCCCCACCAGCAGTGCCGGGGCCGCACCCTCGCCCCCCTGACCCCGCTGTCCCACCCCAGGTTCCACACCCAGGACACCCCCCAAGGACCCTTCCTGACCGAGGTGCTGGGGCTGGAGGCCCGGCAGGAGAAGCGGAACTACTGGCAGATCCTGACTGCGCCCAACACCCCCCTGCAGATGGGTGAGTGGTGGGTGGGGGTCCCTGGGGAGGTGGCAGGGTTCCCCCGCAGCCCTGTGGCTGCTGTCTCACCCCAAACTGTTGTCCCTCTCCCTACAGGTATCGCTGACTACAGACCCCAGGATGGGGAGACTCTCATCCTGCGCCTCAGCGAGTGGTAGAGGGCGGGGGGTGATGGCAATGAAAGCCCCGCTGTGGGCACAGGATCTGCCGGCTCCGTGCCTCCTGCTTTCCATGGGCCAGCACCCAGATCTGCCAGGGGCGGGCGAGGGGACACACACGGTGCTCTGTGTCCTGCAGGTGCAGTGGGACAGGAGCACCAAAATGAGCAGCTCCTCCAGTCCTGGTCCCACTCGGGAATGGGGCAAGCGGCCGCTGGGAGGAGCCGTTTTTGGGGTGTCCAAAGCATTTTTGGGACGGCCAAAAATTTGGGGAGTCTGAGTCAGCGCTGTTCGTCCTCAGCAAGCTGGGATCCTCCTCCTTTGTACCCCCTGGGGGTCGCAGGGCTCGGGGACCGCGGTGCCCGAGGGACAACCCGGGTGTGCCCAAATCTGCGCGGTTCCCCGGGGAGTTTAATCCAGCCCCCCAAATCCGCGGGGCAGTGGCGGTTCGGGGTCGGGGCCGAGCCGGGCTCGGAGGCAGCGGCGCTGTCAGCACGGAGGCAGCGCAGGGAGCCGAGGCCCGGGTGCCCCCGGTGCCTCCGGTGCCCGCCCGGCAGTGACGCGCGGCCTCGCAGGGCGGAGCCTCCGCCCGCCGCTCCCGCCATCACCAAACTTTGCTGCTCCGCCGCCGCCGCCGCTTTCCCGGCACATGGCACCGCCAGCGCGGCGCTGAGCCCCGCCAGCACCCCCGGCCGGGGCACCGCCACCGCCACCGCCACCGCGGGGCTCCCGGGAGGACGGGGCAGAGCGGCGAGCGCCGGCCGGAGGCGGCGGGACCGGCGCCCATGTGCCCGCGGCCGCGGCGGGGCGATGCCGCCGCCATGGGCGCGGCGCGGCCCGGGAAGGCCGAGCCGGGGCGGGCGGAGCGGGCCCGGCCGGCGCTGCCGCTGACCCTCAGCGTGCTGGCCTGGCTGGGCACCGGCACCACCATGGCCGGCCTCAACAAGTGGATCTTCGCGGCGCACGGCTTCCGCTACCCGCTGCTGCTCTCGGCGCTGCACATGCTGTCCGGCGTGGCCGTGGGGTACCCGCTGGGCTGGGCACGGGCACCGGGGCCGCGGCCCCGCGCCAGGATCTACCTGCTCAGCCTCACCTTCTGCTCCAGCGTGGCCCTGGGCAACCTGGGCCTGAGCTACGTGCAGCTGGACGTGGCCCAGGCCGTGGCCACCACCACGCCGCTGGTGACGCTGGTGCTGGGGCTGCTGGCGGGCCGGCGGCCGCACCCGCTGCAGTTCTGGGCCATGGGGCCGGTGTGTGCCGGGGCCGCCTGCAGCATCGCCGGCGGCCTCTGCTTCTCCCAGCCCGGCTGCGGCTTCCTCCTGGCCGCCACCGTGCTCCGCGCCCTCAAGTCCATCCAGCAGAGTAAGTGCCGCTGTCCCTGCCCCTGTCCTGCATGTCTGCCCGCCCCTGGCACAGGGCTGCTGGCATCGCCTCGGTGCCACTCCCAGTGCTGGGGGTTCTCCCTGCTTGCCCTGCAACCCACCGGGCACCCTGGTGTCACCCCAGTCCCAGTGCCACCCCACCCTATTACTGGTGTCACCCTAGAGCATCCTTTATGCTGGTGATGCTCCCTGCCCACCCCGACCACAGTGTCACGCCAGCTGTGGTGACACTCTGGCTCCCAGTTTCACCCCAGCCCTGGTGCTACCCTTGTGTCACCCCAGAGCCACCCTCATCCCTCTCAGGGCTGTGTCGTGCTGGTGGCCCTGAGGTGATGTGACCTGAGTTCAGTGATGACACCATTAGTGTCCCCGTGGTGTCCTTGGGCCATGGGGGGTGGAAGTGCCCTAGCTTGGTACAGGGTCACCCAGCCTGTCCCATCCCTGCACTCGCTGCGAGTCCCCCTTTCCTGGGGACTCTGGTGGCCTCGGTGCCACCCGAGCCGGGGTGTCCTTGGCAATGGCAGCCAGGAGCCAGCTGGAAGGGTTTTGGCTGGGAAGGGAGCGCTTCTTCTGGAGCCTGTGACCTGGGGCACCGTGGGGACGGGCTCTGGCATGGGGCCCTGTGCCCACCCCGAGGTCTCCATGGCTGTACTGGGGTTCTGTGGGCTCCCAGGGGACACCATTGGTCATTGTGCCACTGTCCTGTCACCTTTTCAGCCCCGGTGGGAAATGGACAGTGGCCCTGGGGAGGGTAGGGGCATGTCCGTGTGTGGCAGCCAGCCCTGCTATGCCTGCTGTCCCCACTGTCCTCGGATGACCTGGAGGGGGGGACATGGGGACAAATGCTCCACAACGGGCTGGGAAGGCTGCCCTGTCCAACCCTCCCGGTGGCACTCCGACCCCAAACAGGCACCCTTGAAAGTGGACACTCTTGGAATTGGAGTATCCCCAGAGAGAGACACCCCCTAAACCAAGGAATCCCAGAAATGAAGGACTCCTGAACAGAGACACATCCTAACCAACCTCTAAACTGGGACCCCCCCAAACCAGGGCACCCCCAACTCATGGAAAGAGCTGCCCCCCCCACCCCTTCTCCCCTTCCCAGTGACATTTGGGATCTCTTTACTGCTGGGTCTCCTGTGGGTGTCCCTGCAGTGGCTGGCTGTTCCCGTGGGGTGTCCCACTGACCGCCCCCTGTCCCCCCAGGTGTGCTGCTCCAGGAGGACCGTCTGGACGCGCTGTCCCTGCTCGGCCTGACGTCCCTGCCCAGCTTCGTGCTGCTGTTCGGGGCGGCCGTGGCGCTGGAGCTGGGCCCCTCGTGGCAGGGCGTGCTTCGGCCCGACGCCGCGCTCTGGGGCTGCGTCCTGCTCAGCTGCCTGGGCTCCGTCCTCTACAACCTGGCCACCTCCTGCCTCCTGTCCCTCACCTCGGCGCTCACGCTGCACCTCCTGGGCAGCCTCACCGTGGTGGGCAACCTGCTGCTGTCGTGGCTGCTGTTCGGCACGCGGCTGGGCGCGCTGGGCTACGCCGGCGTGGCGCTGACGCTGGCGGGGATGGTGCTGTACCACCAGCCCCGGCTGCTGCCCGCCTGCTGGGGCCCGCGGCGGCACCCGCGCCACGAGTAGGGACCGGGGGGTCGGGGCCAGGGGGCTCTGGGGGAGCGCTGTGCACGCGTGTGCCAGGGTTGTGCCAGGGTGTGAGACTCTGTGCACATGTACCAGTGTGTGTGTGACTCTGTGCACGTGTGTGCCAGGGTTGTGCCAGGGTGTGTGACTCTGTCCACGTGTGTGCCAGGGTGTGAGACTCTGTGCATGTGTGTGCCAGGGTGTGTGACTCCTCTGTGCATGTGTGTGCCAGTGTTTATGTGACTGTGCACATGTGTGCCAGGGTGTGAGACTCTGTGCACATGTACCAGTGTCTGTGTGTGTGACTCTGTGCATGCGTGTGCCAGTGTTTATGTGACTGTGCACGTGTGTGCCAGGGTGTGAGACTCTGTGCACGTGTGTGCCAGTGTGTGTGACGCTGTGCACGTGTGTGCCAGGGTGTGTGACTCTGTGCACGTGTGTGTGACTCTGTGCACGTGTGTGCCAGGGTGTGAGACTCTGTGCACGTGTGTGCCAGTGTTTATGTGACTGTGCACGTGTGTGCCAGGGTGTGTGACTCTGTGCACGTGTGTGCCAGGGTGTCTGTGACTCTGTGCACATGTGTGCCAGTGTGTGTGGCTGCAAGTATGTGCCAGGTTGTGTGTGCACATGTGTGTGCAAGTGTTTGTGTGACTGTGCACATGTGTGCCAGTGTCTGTGACTGTGCACACCTGTGCCAGGGTGTGTGACTCTTTGCACGTGTGTGCCAGGGTGTGTGTGACTGTGCACGTGTGTGCCAGGGTGTGTGTGATTGAGCACATGTGTGCCAGTGTGTGTGACTCTGTGTGCACACACAGCTGCTGAGGCACACAAGTGTGTCAGTGTGCACGGTTGTGTGCATGTGTGTTTTCTGGTGTGCCCAGAAGTGAGTGTCCACGTCCTGCTTTGCACAGTGTGCAGGTGTGCACAGCCCTGTGCACATGGACGTGCTGACTGCACACGTGTTGTGTGCAGATGTGTTGAATTGCACGCTCTTGGGTGTGCGTGGGTGTGTGCACAGCTCTGTGCCTGTGAGTGTGCACAGGCTCTGCAGGTGTGAGCGTGGCTGTGTGTGTGACGCTGCACATGTTGGTGTGCACAGCTCTGTGCAAGCAGGTTCGTGCTTGTGGGCACGTGTGCGGTGCCACAGGCTGTACCAGGTGTGCACACAGTGTCTGTGTGGCACACGTGTGCTGCTGTGTGCAGGTCAGGCGTGCACAGCCCTGTGTGTGCGTGCAGGTGTGTGCTGCTGGCAGGTACCGCTGTGCACTGGCTCTGCACGTGTCCCTGCGTGTGCACACATGACACGCACACAGGGACACGTGGCTCTGTCCCACGTGGGAAAACAGACGTGTCTGTGTGTCTGTGTGTGTGTGAGTGTCACTACTGAGCTCTGCTGGCTGGAGTGGCCCCTGGCTCTCTGTGTACACCCAGGACAGGGCGGGTGTGTGTCCCCTCTGCTGTCCCCATCCCCACCGTGTCGTGACAATCCCACGGGGCTGCCGGTGGTGCTGCCAGTGTTGTCTTTGTCCCACTACGCCCCTCAGCCCCCACAGCTGTGCCCACCCCTCCCGGCTCACTGCAGACTGGCACCCGTGGCAGAGATGGTGGGAGCCCAGCCGAGGGCAGGGGAGCAGCCTGGGCCAGCTGCCATCGCTCCAGGACAGTGCTGGGCTGTGACACGGGACAGAGCTGGGCTGTGACACAGCACGTGCTCACCATGGCAAAGGGACAACCAGTGTGTATGCCTGGCACAGCTGCTGGGGTCCGTGGTGGCCACACTTGTATCTCCACGCCGGGGCCGAAGGACCCAGCTCCGATTGCACTTGTCCCAAAATAAAGCTCTATTTTTGTTGTACTCCACCCTTGGCTTCCAGTGATCTCCTGGCCAAGAAGGAAGGGAGGAGCACCCAGTGCAGGGATAGGAAACTGAGGCACAGAAATGCCTCAGGATGTTCCAGTTCCTGTGTCCAGCACCTCTAGCTCCAGCAGTTCAGCTGTGGTTCGGCAGCCTCAGGGCTGGCACTGGGACACCCCACAGGACACGGGAGGGATGCAGTGACACAGAGAGCAGTCACTGACCACAAGTGTCTGCAAAAGGGCTGGGAGCTCTGCCCTGCCCAGGGTGGCATGAGGCTGGAGCATCCTGTCCCCTGAGTCATGGAATCATGGAATATCCTGGGTTGGATATTCCACAAGGATTACCGAGTTCAGCTCCTTGCCCTGCACAGGACAGCCCCAAAAGTCACACCATGTGTTGCTTGTCCCTCCCCTCTCCAGCCTGGTGACTCACTTGAACACAAAAGCACAACCCCCGCTTCCCCTGGAAAATCCCCACTGGTTCCCGCCCTCTTTCCCAAACAGCGACTTTTTTCCATTATTAGGGCAGTGATTGAGGCTGTTTCCAGCAGCACCTGAGGAGCGGCTCCTTCCCAGCACACGGGTGAGGCGCTGGCAGCTCTCCGGGGTGTGCCCAGCGTGCCACCGCTGCTGCCACCTTTGCCAAGGTGCGACTGGAGCTGTGCCCATCGCAGAAAGGACACGAAGGGCCGCAGTGCTCAGCCAGCGGCCCCTGCTCCGGCCGGGAGCTGTTTGCCTTCTGGGCTCACATTCCAGAGGCTTTTCCACAGGGGGAGTGTTGGGAGGAGGAGTGAGACCTGCAAACCTGCACCTGCAGCACAGCTAACTCAGGACCCTCCGCCAGGGACTCCCTGCCTATCCCAGCCCCCTGACCCGTTTGCTGGCACTGGGGCTGCCTGGATCCTGGCTCCATCCATGACTTCGCCTTTTCCAGCTTGGATTCAGTGCCATGGGGTGCTCTGGGTGCCCTGCAGCTCCCGGGAGCGCGGCCGGTGGTGGCCGTGTGTGTCCCTGTGCAGTGGTGACAGTAGCCCGGCTGGTCATGGGGGTTCAAGGGCAGCATTCCTGCTGGGACAGGGGGCTGTGTGCCCATGGAAAGCCCAGCAGCGCTGGCAGGGGTGGCTGGCTGTGCTGACCCTCTCTCCATGGATTCCAGGCCATGATCTCAGCCTGGTGTTATCCCTCTGCTCCGGCCCCAGGAAGGATTGGGTTTCCCACCACACCGACAGCTGCTGCTCCGGCCAAGCTGGATGAGGGAAAGGCATCCAAGCCCTGGGGTTTTTGGGAAGGGAGCAGATGGGACACCTTCCTGAAGAGCAGCCCCTGGCACAGGGCAGGAACAGCCCAGCTGGAGCAGGGAACAATGGGCATGGGGGGCTCCTTGTGAGGAGGGGTCACAGCTCTGAGGGACGGGCAGCATCTCCACGTGCTTGGAGTGCTGGCTGACAAAGAATCATGGAATCACAGATGCTTTGGGTGGGAAGGGGACTTAAAGGTCATCTCATCCCATCCCCTGTCATGGGCAGGGACACCTTCCACCAGCCCAGGCTGCTCCAAGCCCTGTCCAACCTGGCCTTGGACACTTGCAGAGATCCAGGAGCAGCTACACCTTCTCTGCATAGCCTATTCCAGGGCCTCCCCACCCTCCCAAGGAATGATTTCTTCCCAATGTCCCATCCAGCCCTGCCCTCTGGCAGTGGGAAGCCATTCCCTGTGTCCTGTCCCTCCACACCCTTGCTCAAAATCCCTCTCCATCAAGGAGCTCCAGATGAAGTGTGAAAGTCCAAGGTGGGAGAAATAAACCCGAGTCCGGTGGGACAGTGTAGTTATGGCATCAGGCCTGACAGTTTTCATGGATCTGCTGCTGAAGCACGGCTGAACCCTTCCTTGGAAGTGGCAATGGAACGTGCTGGGATGGTGCTGGAGCAGGAGCAGCGTGCGCCCACACAGGAGAGAGGAAATCCAGGCTGGATTTACTGTGTGCCTGGGAGCACAGGGTGGAAGTTATCTGTTTCAGGACAGGGATTAACTGTTGCCCTGGAGCCCGTCTGCCCTGGCACAGCGGGGTTTGGGATCTGCAGCAGGAACAAACATTTGCTAAACTGGGGAGCCTGAGCCAGGAAATTATATCCTTCCGGGATATGCTGGGCTGTGCTCTCAAACCTTCCACATCCCAGTCCTCAAATAGTGTCAGGGACTGACTGTTCTGGGTATGGAGCTGGAATTACAGCAAAGCCTTTTTTAGGGGAGATGTAGGAAGATTACGTTTTTCCTTGTAGGACAGCCTAACCCAGAGAGCTGAGGGTGTTTGGAGCTGCCCAAATGAGACTGGAGGCCAGAAGATGGACAGGATGACCCCTCAGACTCCCTTCCAGTCCCACAGCCTCTATTCCAGCACCCAAAAATCCCCTCCAGATTTTGTCCTTAACCATTTGGTGGCTTCCCTGCTGGCTTCACTGCTGGCTCTGTGTCACAGGCTCCTGCCCTGCCCTGAGCAGGCTCTTGGCTGAGTAGCTGAGTTTCTAAAAGATGAAATCACAGAAGCTTCAAGACATTTTAAAAGTCTTAGAATCAGAGAAAGATGGAGTGGTTAAGGTTGGATATGCTCTCTAAGATCACCAAGTCCAACTATTCCCCCAACACTGGCAAGGTCAGCACTAACCCATGCCCCCAGGTGCCACATACTCACATTTTTTTTAACATTTACAGGGATGGGGACTTCACCACAGCCCTGGGCAGCCTGTTCCAATATCTTACCACCCCTTCTATGAGGAATGTTTCCCTAATATCCAACCTAAACCTCCCTTGGTGCAACTTGAGGCCATCTCCCTTATCCTGCCTCTTGCTCCCTAGGAAAAGAGCCTGTCCCCCACCTGGCTCCAAAACCTCACATCTGTTTGGGCTGTGGGACCCCACCAAGGAATGGGGTTCTTCATGGCCACGGAGCAGCCTGCTCAAATCATAAGACATGGAATGATTTGGGTTGGAAGGGACCTCAAAGTTCATCCCATTCCAAAGCCCTGCCATGGGCAGGGACAATAACCACGGATCTCCCAAGCGCCTCCTGAAAAAGAGTTGTGGCAGCCAAGTGGGGGAAGAGAAAGGTGCCATCTTTGGGTCTCTCCCAAGCAGAGATGCTGGAGCCTGTGCTCTTCCTTCCCTCTCTGGAAGGCAGCAGATGATGGGCCTTTGAATTGCTGTCTCAAAACCCAAAGCTGTATCCCAGTTAGGAAAAACAAGTGTTGGTGACATTCCAAGTCTCCTGACTCACAGCAAGTTGCTGTCCTGCCTCAGCAGCACATTTTGTGCTGGAATAAAACAACACTCCCTGAGCACGTGGTGGTCTTGGAGTGCCTGTCAAGGCCCTGGTACAAATGAGATGTGAAAACGGTGCTGATTTTATTAATAGTAAAATTCACTACTCGCTGGGGTATCTCAAATCCTCTGTACTTTCAGCAGCACACACTTCATGTTCCAGCTCCTCAGATGTGAGTTTATTTTCAGCTCTCCAGCATGGCTCTGGAAGAGCTGCTGCTGGCTTTCCCTGGACTTATTGCCAAGAGGTCACAACAGCTCGTTTGTACTCAGAGCAGCAGTGTTTCTCCTGCTTCATTTCCATAACCATGGGGCACCATCCCGGCTGGAGGGCTGAGCATCCAGATCTGCTGCTGCTGAACCTGGCATGGCCTGACCCTGCTGCCAGGAGCTGCTGTTGGGCTCTGAGCTGTGCAGGAGCTCACCCTGGGTCAGGGGTGGCTCCGTGTGGTGGAAAAGTCTCTCCTCCAACCCGAGCTTCCAAAGAAAGGCTCAGCAGTCTCTGTTGTTTGGTCTCAAGGCAGTTTATTGCAAGTTATCTAAAGGATTTTCTTCTGGGGCTGCTGTGGTTTGCTCACAGCTCAGGCAGAGGCACACACACACCCTGACATCCTCTCTGACTCCCGACTGCTTCTTCTCTCCCCGCCCAGGGCTGCTGCTGTCTTTTATATGGTACATTACGTGATACATGTTACAGTTTTTCCCAATGCCTATTACCTATATTAAATGGTGCTTTTCTATCTTTTATATGGTACATTACGTGTTACATGGGTACAGTTTGTCCCCAGTGCCTATTACCTATATTAAATGGTGCTTTTCTACTCTAAACCAATCTGTGAGTGCCAACATCACCAAGAACATGAAGGTGAGGAAGGAGAAAGAGGGAGGACAGGACAGGCCCAAATCCCTCCCTCTTAAAACCTCTGACCCCCATGTACAAAACCTAAACCCCCCTGTACAGCACTCAAAAATTCTTCCCTCTACTTTGTAACTACTTCTACTATAATATCTAAACTTTTGTGACTTCTTGTTCTTCCTGCAAGGTTGGTAACTCATTTCATGGCTCAAACCCAAAATCACAGCTGTTTCCAGCTGCCTGCCAGGGTCTCAAATGCTTCTGACCTGGGCCCAGAACATCCAAAAATGTCTGAGGGACATTTTGAGTTCCGACAGTGCTGGGATGGCAGCATTTGACCTTGGAGAAAGGCACCGTGTGCTGGGCTGAGCCCCCAGCGTGGGCAGCCAGGGAGGGGGGATTCTGCACCTCTGCCCTGCCTGGGTGAGACCCCACCTGCAGAGCTGCCTGCAGCTCTGTGGCCCAGCTCAGGAAGGACCTGGAGCTGCTGGAGAGAGTCCAGAGGAGGCACCAGGATGATCAGAGGGATGGAGCAGTTTTTTGCTGGAAGGAAAGGCTGAGAGAATTGGGATTGCTTGGCCGGGAGAAGAAAAGGCTTTAGGGTGACCTAATTACAGCCTTGCAGTACTTGAAGGGAACCAACCAGAGAGATGGAGAGAGAAAGAAAGATGGAGAGAGGCTTTGCACAAGGGTCTGGAGGGACAGAACAAGAAAGAATGGCTTCAAACTGAAGGAGAGCAGGTTGTGACTGCATATTTTGAAGAAACTGTTCCCCATGAGTGTAGGGAGGTCCTGGCACAAGGTGCCCAGAGAGGCTGTGGCTGTCCCATGCCTGGCAGTGCCCAAGGCCAGGTTGGATGGGGCTTGGAGCAGCTTGGGACAGTGGAAGGTGTCCCTGCCCATGGCAAGGGGTGGAACAAGATGAGCTTTAAGGTCCCTTTCAATCTGAACCATTCCATGATTCCATGGTCCCATGGTTCCATTCCTGTAGGGAACATGGAGTGGTGCTCCATCAGGCCGAGCAGCCCGTGGGGACTGACTCAGCCCTGTGTGTCCCCATGCCGTGGGTCCCAGCTGTCACTGAGCCCAGCAGCTGCAGCTGCAGGCGGTGGGGGTGTCCTTCAGGGGCACACACGGCTGCTCCGTGTGGGGACAGAGCCTGGTCACTGCTCCAGGCAGACATGGAGGATGGTGCTGGTGCAGTGGGGGAAGGGCAGGAGAAGCTGTTGGGCCACTGTGTCCCTGAGGCAGAGTTTGGAGGTGGCTCCTGACAGGCCACCTATCAAGGTCACCGTGACAACAACTGACCACCAAGAGCAGAGACAGGGGCATGGAGGAGCAGGGCCCGACACGGCCTCGGGTCACCATCTTCCCACCTCCCCAGAGCCAGCAGGCCAGCAGGCCCCGGTGCAGGGCTGGGGACCCTCACACTGGGCTGGGGGACCCTCACACTGTCCTGGGTCTGGGGGACCCTCACACTGTCCTGGGGCTGGGGGACCCTCACACTGTCCTGGGGCTGGGGGACCCTCACACTGTCCTGGGGCTGGGGGACCCTCACACTGACCTGGGGCTGGGGGACCCTCACACCATCCTGGGGCTGGGGGACCCTCACATTGTCCTGGGGCTGGGGGACCCTCATGCTGTCCTGGGGCTGGGGGACCCTCACACTGTCCTGGGGCTGGGGGACCCTCACATTGTCCTGGGGCTGGGGACCCTCACACCATCCTGGGCTTGGGGGCCCCTCACACTGGGCTGGGGCTGGGGACACCTCACACTGGGCTGGGGAACACTCACACTCCAGGAGCAGGTCAGTGGGCCTCTGACATGAAGCCCTTTCTCACCCAGAGCAGCCCTGCAGATTGGGACCTTGACTTGGACTACCCCCTGCCCACCTCCAGCAGCCACACCAATGCCCATGAGCTGCAACTCCTGGAGGAGCAGGTGAGGTCTCCTCTTCCCTGGGACAAAGCTCATGGCCCCTGTGGCACAAGGAGGCCTTTAGGTCTTCAGCCAGCTGGATCAGGAGGGGGTGCCAAGGCGAGAGCACTTGGGAGCAATTGGGAGAGGCAATTGTTGTATTTGGGCTACCTTTGACATGAGGTGTTGTGCCTCCATCCCAACCTCAGGACACAGTAGTCATATCCTATCTCCAAGTCAGCTGTGGTTTGGAATAAGTTATAGGCATCATTTGCTATGGACTTAACCTGGACTCATACATTGTTCCAGTGGTGCCTTGGAGGAGAATAAGTTTAGATTGGATTTTGGGAAGAGATTCTTCCCCGTGAGTGTGGGGACGCCCTAGCACAGAGCTGTGGCTGCCCCTGGATCTCTGAAGTGTTCCAGGCCAGGTTGGATGGGCTTGAAGAAACTTGGACTGGTGGAAGGTTTCCCTGTGGACTGAAGCAAGATGAGCTTAATGTCCCTTCCAGCCCAAACCATTCCATGGATCTGTGATTCTGTGATTATGCATATTGGAGCTTTTTGCTTGGAGATCACCTTGGCCATAGTGAGGGATGTGGTGGGATCTGTCTCCTCCTGAAGATAAGCACCACTTTGGAGTTCTTTATTTCACGGTAGGAGAGTGGCAATAAAGTCTTACGTTTGGTCTCACAAAGGTAAAAAACTTTGAGAAGGCTAAAAAGAAAACCCATCGTCTCTACAAACAACTACGGCAGCAGTTTTTGAGAGAACAGGAGAGAAGGATGGAGAGGAGGAAGAAGACAGCCGAACAGTTTAAAAAATCCCTGGAAGTGTTTGATCGCAGGAGTGGGAAGGTGCCGGTGCCACCTCCCGTTTGCCGGCGGAGGGAGCGAAGCGAAGCCCTCGGAGCTGGCAGGAGCTGCCGCCAAAGGAGCGCCCAAGGGAGGCGAACACAGAGCTCCTCCTGCGGGCCGGGCCCGGCTCCAGCACGCAGCAGCTTCAGCCAGTCCAATTTTGCAGCAATAAAGCAGCACAACCCCTCTGGTGTTGCTGCCCTTCTGAACCGATGGAACAGGGTAGCTGGAGAACCTGGGCTGGGAGGGAACAGTGAGGGAGCTGGGGGTGCTCAGCCTGGAGAAAAGGACACTCAGAGGGGACCTCATCACTCCCCACAGCTCCTGAAAGGTGGCTGTGCTCAGCTGGGGCTGGGCTCTGTCTCCAGGCAGCACTGACAGAACCAGAGGACACGGTCTGAAGCTGCACCAAGGGAAATATAGGTTGGATGTTAGGAAAAGGTTTTTCATTGAAAGAGTGATAAAGTACTGGAATGGCTTCCCAGGGAGTCACCATCCCTGGAGGTGTTTTAAACAAGCCTGGGTGTGGCAGTGGGTGCCAGGGTTGAGTTGAGGTGTTGGGGCTGGGTTGGACTTGATGATCTTGAAGGTCTCTTCCAACCCAGACACTCTGTGAATTCTGTGAATCTGTGATGCAGCTGCAGGAGTGAAACTCCTCTTCAAGGCACTGCTGTCCTGTGAGGGGGTAGGACTGTGATGTGAAAGGGATGGAGTTTTTCCTTGGCTTGTGCCCAGGCTGCCCAGGGAATGGGCACGGCCCCGAGGCTGCCAGAGCTCCAGGAGCCTTTGGACAGCACTGCCAGGGATGGACAGGGTGGGGTTGGTGGGGGTCTGGGCAGGGTGAGGGGTTGGGCTGGATGATCCTCTGGGTCCCTTCCTGCTCAGGAGATTCCATGACTCTGTGTCCTGGTTTTGCAGTCACCATTGCAGTGTTTGGATTTCATAACATAAACCTTTTCTGCTTGAGATGAAGCTGCTTGTTTTTTATGCTTCCCAGTGACCTCGAGGGAATAACTGGACCTTGGAAGATTGCTTCCACGTCCTCAATCACGTCAAGTCCTCAATCAAGTGCTTCCTTCACTGGATTGGAAAATTCCCAGTACCTTCAAGCTGTGCCCCTCAGCAGGGATTTCTGAAGGGAATTCTCAAAACTGCATCCTTTTCTCTCCATGGACAGACCCTTCCTTCTTGATCTCAGTTTTTGTCTGCTGGATTTGTCCAGGAAAATGAGGATTTGCCTGTTCACCAGATGAACTGGATGATCTTTAAGGTCCCTTCCAACCCAAACCATTCCATGATTCACTGCGACAGCTGCTGGACAGGACAGACAGGGAACATCTCTGGTCGTGCAGGCACCAGTGCCAGGCTGGTTCTCACCTGCACCAGCTGCCTTGGTGACTGAAACCCATGAGATGGATTAAGATGAATAAAAAAGGAATGCCAAAAAGCAAATAGTGTCAGAAGTTTTTAGAGAAGAACCTGGAGGTTGTCACTTAGGGGTGGTGACCCATACTGGCCACTCCTGGGGTTTTCTCTGTGGGAAGATGCTGTGGGGAAAGGAGGGGTTTGTAACCAAACAGCACCCACTCTGCACACTGGGGAGTGGTGGTCCCCATGCGGTTCCTGGCACGCAGCAGCACCCAGGGGGAGGGGGGGATGTGTTCTCGTCCTTGCCGTGGAGGCAGAGGGGCTGCAAGGCTCTAACAGAGCTCCTCTGTGTGGAGGGTACCGAGCTCAGCCCCTCTGAGCCCCTCTCCGTCCTCCCGTGCTGGGAGCAGCCTGTCACCAGCCTCTGCGGTCCCCCAGCTCGGTGCTGTCCTTGGTGCCAGCATTCCCATGGACAGCCAGTCCTGGCACGCAGCAGCAGCCTGCGATGAAGAGCCCCAAGCATGGGTGATGCCTGTCCCCCTTTGCCCTCTCCTTGCCACCTCCCACTGCTCCCACTTGGCAGAGGCAGGAAGCAGCTGGCTTTCACCTGGGAGATGGAGGCTGTGACTTGCTGCAGACTCACGGCATCACAGAATCGTTAAAGTCGGAAAAGCCCTCTGAGAGCAATCCAACCATTCTCCAGCACTGCCAAGGCCACCCTGACCCCTGTCCCCAAGTGCCACATCCACATGGCTGCTAAATCTCTGCAGGGATGGGGATCCAGCACTGCCCTGGGCAGCTGTGCCACCCTGACTACCCTTTCTTTCCATGCAGAAATGTTCCCAAAATCCACCCTGAGCCTGCCCTGGCCCAGCCTGAGGCTGTTCCCTCTCCTCCTCTCCCTGTTCCCTGGGAGCAGAGCCCGACCCCCCCGGCTGTCCCCTCCTGTCAGGAGCTGTGCAGAGCCACAAGGTCCCCCCTGAGCCTCCTTTTCTCCAGGCTGAGCCCCTTCCCAGTTCCCTCAGCCTCTCCTGGGGCTCCAGCCCCTTCCCAGCTCCCTCAGCCTCTCCTGGGGCTCCAGCCCCTTCCCAGCTCCGTTCCCTGCCCTGGACATGCTCCAGCCCCTCCAGGTCTCTCCTGTCATAAAGGACCCAGAACTGGACCCAGGATTTGAGGTTTGGCCTCAGCAGACAGATTAGGACCAAACTCACACACTCTGGTCTCAGTGCCCTGACAGCCCCAGGGACATTTTCCTGTGCCACAGCTGCATTATTCTGCATTGCTGCTCCTGTCACCCAGCTCCAGCCTGTGCACTCAGAGCCAACCCAGCACCTCCAACCCTCCCGTTTTTCCCTGTTGGGTCCTTTAGCTCAGAGCTTACTCCAACCCCACTACCCTCATCCCTTCAGCCAGCTTTGTACTGCAGGGACTCCCTGGTTTCTCTGTGCCCTGCCTGGGCCTGCCTGACAGGCTCTGGGGGCCAGGGAAGTGCAAACTCCTTCCCAGATGTTCAGGATACAGATGCCATCATCCCACTGACAGCATGACATGGGAATGAGGGAACAGCAGCCGAAGCTGCAGCAGGGATGTGGTCAGGGATCAGTTGGCCCAGTGCAGTCCCCCAGGGCTTGGTGTGGTGCCAGAGCTCCATGCTGCCAGCAGAGCACAATGTAAGGCCACAGCCAAAGGACTGTGGCAGGAGGGGACTGTCCCTGCAGTGACAGGATGGGGTGCTGTTGCCTGCAGCATGGCTTCATTGTGTGTGCTTCTGCTCTTTCACTGTCATTTCACAATCAGTTCAAATCATCCCCCTCCTCGATGTCCCTTCCCTGGTCCCACACAGGGATGGGTGGCAGCAGGAACAGGGAAATTATTTGGGCAAAGCAGGCTGGGGTGGATCCTGGTTTTCCAAGCAGATGGACCAGCCAGCTCCCACACTCTGAGCTGTGCTTCCCTGTGCTGCAGAGGAGAGGCACTCAGCACCTGGAGAGGGTTTGGGTGGTGGGTGAGGCCAGCTGGGGCCAGGGAAGTGTCTGGCCTTCAGGTATCTATCACAGAGTCCTGCTGTTGGAGCACAGCTGGACTCAGTCTGTGGGGGACAGTGTGCCCGGGCTGTCCCAGGGGCTCCTGGCTCTCCCTTCCCTGCTCGGACATGCCCCACATAATTTGGATTCTTGGGTACCTCTGGCTCAGGCAGTGATGCAATCTGGTGGGTTTGAGTGCAGAGAATTGTTTGAGGGTAGGTCTGAGGCTGTTCTACATCCTGGATGAGGTGAGATTGACGCAGGTTCGGTGATGCTTCATCCAGCTCCCAGAGTGACCCAGTTTTCTTCCTGGCTGAAGAGCTGCTGCTGGCCTGGAGCAGTGCGGAGCTGCAGGATGAGTCAGGGCTGCTCTGGACATGTGTCATCACCCCCATGTCCTCCTGCAAGGCCGGGATGTCTGTAATTACCCAGATCCAGGAGGGAGCAGCAGTGATCCACAGTCTTCCCTACTTTAGAGGAGGTTTGGATGTGACCCACGGCTCCACCCCTTTCCTTCCTCTTTCCCTGGATGTCACAAGGCCTTGCTGTCCCTTCAAGCAGGCTGTGCACAGCAGACACAGGGGATTCTGGTGACAGTCACAGGCCAGCTGATGCCATCTCCAGTTCGTGGCTGTCAGGAAGTCCAAGCCTGCACTTCTTGGAGAGCAGTAGCACATTTCAAACAAAGCAATCAGGACACTCCTCAACTTTGAAAAGACATTCTTTTTGTGATGGATTTAATTCCAAAATATCTGCAGCACATGTGGCAGCCTTTCAGGGAGGGTCAGGGATCCCTTCTGGAGTCCTTGTTGAGACAAGCAGCAGTTCTCCATGTCTCAGGGGCTGTTCTCTGTTATGTGATGTGCTGCATGAGGACACATCCAACTGACAGCACACCCCTCTGGAGCCTCAAATCGCAGCTCTGCTCTGCTCTCGATCATAGTGCAGCCAGGAAATCACGGATCTTCTGCATTTAGATCCAGTGTGATCCCAGTTGCTGAATTAGAGCTTGAGAAGGTGTTCCTGGGCAGGTCAGTGCTTTCCCTGGAGGCTACGGGGCAGCCTGGCCCAGACTCGCAGTTCCAGCTGCCCCTCCTTCCCACAGCGGGCTGGGCATGCCCCAGCTTGGGGTGGACCCAAACCCAGAGCCACTGTCACGCTCAGTGCCATTCTTGACTCAGATCAGTCCTTTGGCTGAGCCACTCAGGGCAGGAGGGAACCCACCTGGAGGTGACTGCTCCAGGTAATAAGCCTGGAGGAAAATGACTTGGGGGTGCTGGAAATGGTGCCAGATATGTCCAGGTGGGCAGGAAGGCCGAGTGTCCCCTCATCCATCCTCACCAGTGCCACACCAGAAGGCCCAGCCCTGGTGGTCCCACTACATCTTCCATCACCAGCCCCTCATTTGCTTTGTGTAGGGAAGCAGTTGGGAATGGGTGAGCGGAATTATTCCTGGACTTGGACACTCCTTGCACAGCAATAAAGGAGCTGCTCAGGCCAGGTAAGGACCCGGGACAAGGCTGCCTGTGAGGGCATGGCCACCCCACCACCGTGGTGTCCTGCGAGGGACAGAGCATCGCTGCGAGCACGGCCTGGAGTTCAGCATCTTGCCATGTTTCCTGCTGGAAACCAAACCCTCTTCTCCTGAGGGCATCCATGTCACTGCCTGGGCTGAAGGTGAAACAGAGATTTTTAGAGCTCACTTGAGTTAACAAAATGAATTAAGTATTTATATTCTAGCTTGTAGAGTTATATGTTAAATTGTAACTTTTTACTTAAGAAACCTCTGCCATGGTACAAAGGTAAGAAAATGCAATTTTCTGAAGCTTTATTCAGTGTATCACTTCAAAGGCATGGCAGCGTTCAAAGGCCATAATGTTCTTTGCAGACGTCAGCAAGTCACAGGTAAGCAATTAACTCAGCCTGTACAACATCAGCATCTTCATCAGCTGAGGCTCATTATCGCTTTTATGGCCCAGTAAAACCAGCCACGTTAACAGCGCAGCTTAGGGGAACCCTCTTGTGTTCTAATGTTTCAAAACAGCCCCTTAGGGGCTCCTGGATATACATTGGGCTGACCCGCGCCTGGCAGACGTGACCTCGGCAGGACAAAGTTTATTTTCGGGTTACTCGTCGTGCTCTCAGAACACAGATCGGGGCAGCTCAGAGGGAACGAGCCGCCCCCTCACGCCGCACAGCCCCCGCGGGCGCCATGACAGCCCCCGAGCCCTGCCAGTCACCGCCGCACGGCTCCTGATTGGACAGCGGCACTGCCAATCAAACGGCAGGGGGCGGGGCCTGCGCGGCGCCGGGGAGGCCCCGCCCCCTCGGGTCTCCTGGCAACGGGAGGCGCTGACGGCGGGGCCGGGATCGGGATCGGGATCGGGACCGGGACCGGGATCGGGATCGGGATCGGGATCGGGATCGGGATCAAGATCGGGATCGGGACCGGGATCGGGACCGGGATCGGAACTGAGTGCGCTGCAGCGGGTGGAGGCCGCTTGGGGCCGGCATCCCCCAGTAACCGCCTCTTGAGATACCCCGTCCCACCCCGGGATGCTCAGGGCCGCTGGTCCCACGGATCCCCGGGTCCTCTCGCACCGGCCCCCAAGCCGCCCGCCTCGCACGGGGGTCCTCCCCACCGGGAATCACCGCTCCGACCTCTGGCTGTTCCCCAGTCTCTGGATCCTCCTGCTGTCCCACACCCACACGAGGGGACCCTTCACTCCCTGTTAGACCCCCCCGCCCCGCTCCAGCTGTCCCCATCTCCTCCCTCCCTCCTCCTCTTGCCTCTGTCCCTGCCAGTCCTGCCAGATCCCCTCTCCCACCTCCTCCCTCTGACAGGGACAGGCTTAGAAGGGTAGAGGTTTCCCATAGAGATTTCCCACTGGGAGCCCTACCCTTCCCTCCGGGGTGGCCCCAGGGCTCTCCAAACCCTTCTCCACACCCCTCTGGGGACAGCAGAGCTGCAGTTTGTGCTGCTCTACCTCAGCTGCTGCTCAGAAGCTGTTGGGTGCTTCCCCCGCCACCCACCCTTCAAAGCCAGGAATGAATCCATCACCCCCTTCCCATGGGTGTTCGACAGCTGCTCTGGGACCAGTTCTAATCCACAACTCCATGTCCTGATCCCCTACCCAGACTCAGAGAGAACATCAGGTTAATCTCAGACTCTCATGTTTTCCCAAATTACATAATTTCTCTAATGCTGTCACTATGTGTTCCTTTTAGAGAGAAAATCCAAGAAGGGTGATTATGTGACAGCAGCAGCACAGGAACTTCCATTTTCTTCCAGAGTCTCACCTCGTGTAAGAGCTGCTGTGTCCTTTCTAGACCTCAAACCACCCAGACCACTAGTGTTTATTTGAATCCATGGCATCAGGGGATCCAGCTGCATTCCAAGTATCCTCATGAAGCAAGGAACCTTGGTGAAGGAATGGCAACTCCAAGGAAGGCAGGGATCCCATTAAGTGTCATGAAGGTGTTGGATCCACACCAGCTAAAACCTGATAGCACGGAGACAGAAAGAATCCTAACTGTCTTGGATGAGACCATTGTGAAGCTGGAGATCACCAGGTTGATCCCACAGATTACTGGCTCCCTGGAGAGGTATGCTGGGATGCTGGGACCTGAGATCACAAGCCGCCTTTTGGAACATCAGAAGCTTTCAATGGAAATACAGCACCTGCTCACCAGCCCTGGAGATGAGAAGAGCATAAAAGCTGCAGAGCAACGCCTGAAATGTTCCCTGAGAAACATCCTGAGGCTCTTCCTGGCCAACCCCTTGCTTTACCATGGGCTGAAATACGAAGTTCGGGTGAGAGAGGCACCAGCTGATGTGTTTGTCAAAGCCTTTAAGGAGTTCCGGGATTTCACACTCGAGAGGCTCCTGACCACTCCTGATGAAGAGAAGGAAAAGATGCAATTCATGAATGACATTTCCCTCCAGGTTGAGAAAAACACAGAAACAATCTCAGCTCTACGGGGAGAGCTGGCAGGAGTCATCCAGACTCGAGATGAGGAGGTATGACCTTGTGGGAATGTGTTTTCCAGCCAAGTGGAAACTTGCTTTTTACTGGAGCAAAACCTTGCAAATTATAAACCAATCCCTTTATTGCAGTTCCTAAAGAGCAAGTTCCAGAAATCCTTTCTAAACCAGATCTAAAGTTTAAAAATAATATTTTTATTGTAAAATATAAGAAAAATGCTTATTGCATGCTTGATTATTTTTTTAAACTCGAATTTGGCATGTTTTGAACCTGTTGTCACCAGCCAACTTAAACAATGTAAGTCCCTGAGTCCCAGAGGAGTGGCAGGACAGGCACAAACTGCTGTGGTGGTATCCTGGCAGGGTGACAATGCCAGCTGCTTCATTCCCTGCTGCTGAAAGAATGAAAAATCATTACTGGGAGAGATTGCTCTGATTAAAATCCATTTTTAATATTTGCTGTGTCTTCACTCTTGCTTAAAACCAACATTTCTGTGACTCCAGACTCTTAACAGCTGCCTTGGAGCATTTGTGATTAATCAGTGATTATACAAATTACATGAATCTTTAATTTTATCTGCAGCTGAGGTACAGATAATTGACTGGGCACTTCCCAGGCAGTTTCTCAGCTTGTGTGCCAAGCCCAGAGCTTCTGACAACAATCCTTTGTTTTCTACCTGGGTTTCTTTTTCTCCTCCCTGCAAGAGGGGTTGGCTGAGAAGGTTTTGCCCTGCGCTCACTGCTGGCAGAGCCAGGGACCTGCTTTCCCCTTTCCCTCTGCTGCTTGGAGTTCTGGGGATCGAGATTTTTATGTGCAATTTGGCAGCTTGTCTGGGACATGGTGAATAAATCTGTTTCACTGATCCCAGCTTGGGATTTCCCTCCCTGAGCTGTATCCCCCAGACAGTCACACGGAGCCTGATCCATCCCTTGAGGGAGCCACAGAGCTGCTCCAGGGAATCTGTTTTGGCTGCTGCTCTGGTCGCAGTGCCAGTGGGGCTTGGGATGGTTTGTTCACTCTGTGCCTTTACCAACAGGTTCCCAGAGGAGCAGGTTTCCAAAGCTCCAGTATGAATCTGGAGCTTCACTCCCTCAGCCGGCAGTGGCAGGGCCTTGGTGCTACCTGAGCTGGCCCCTGAGGGTCCCTTCTTGGATCTCCTCCAGCTTTGCAATGTTTTTTCTTCTCCTGCCCACCTTATGCCTCAGGGGTGTTTCCCAAAGGTAATCCTCTTGTTTTCCGCACTAGGTTAGCAGGAAGGACAAAACAATCAAAAACCTCAAAACCAGCATGGAAGACATGGCCAAGAACTGCAAGGCTAACATCCAGCTGATCATGAAGGAAGGGGAAAAGCAGCAAAAAGAGGATAAGGAAGCCTCCCAGGACAGGTGTGCCAGGCTGAAGCAGGACATTCAGCGCCTGCGAACACAGCTGAATGCACTGGTGCTGGAGCACCGAGCCTCAGAGCTGGTTCTCAGGAAGGTAAAGGGGAGGAGCTCTGGGACAGGAGGTTTAAGCCTTTTTGCAGAGCTGTCAGCTCTGGCTGCTGCCTGCTGCAAGGAGTTCCTTGGGCTCTGCTCATTCCTGGCAGGATGCACACGGTGTGTGTCACAGCACACCCGCCCTGTCCTCATCCTCTGCTGATTCCAGTGGAAAGCAGCCCTGCAGCGACAGCAGGGACAGAGCTGTCACAGGTCCTGCTCCTGCCTCGGCTCTGGGAGCACCTTCCCACAGCGCTGGGACACCGGGCAGGGCTCAGGGAGTGAGGCTGGAACAGGACACGTGTGGGATAGTGACAAACCAGGGATCTGCTGCAGGGGGAGCAGAGCAAACAATATTGGCCTGGTAGAAAGCATCTTCTAGAGTTGATTTATTATTCAAGGTGGAATGGAGCTGATGCTGAGGGCTCAGCAGGTCCTGCTCTGCTCAGCTTGGAAGAACAGACAAGCCAAGGGAGTCAGGCTGGGTTGAATGAGGGGGCTATGTAATTTTATAGAATCATCCCAGAATAGTTTCGGTGGGAAGGGACCTTGAAGCCCATCCAGTGCCACCCCTGCCCTGGGCAGGGACACCTTCCATTATCCCAGGGTGCTCCAAGCCCTGTCCAGCCTGGCCTTGGGCACTGCCAGGGATCCAGGGTGGGCACCCTGTGCCAGGGCCTGCCCACCCTCACTGGGAACAATTCCCAATCTCCCATCCATCCCTGCCCTGTGGCAGTGGGAGCCATTCCCTGTGTCCTGTCCCTCCATCCCTTGTCCCCAGTCCCTCTCCAGCTCTCCTGGAGCCCCTTCAGGCCCTGCAAGGGGCTCTGAGCTCTCCCTGGAGCTTCTCCTCTCCAGGTGAGCACCCCCAGCTCTCCCAGCCTGGCTCCAGAGCAGAGGGGCTCCAGCCCTTGCAGCATCTCTGTGGCCTCCTCTGGGCTCTCTGCAGCAGCTCCAGGTCCCTCCTGTGCCTGCCCAGGGCTGGGGCAGCTCTGCAGGTGGGGCAGAGGAGCAGAAACCCCCCTGCCCTACTGCCCAGGCTGGGGCTCAGCACAGGGCTGAGGGGCTTTCAGGGCTGGGGCAGAGCTGCCCTCACCCAGCAGCACCCCAAAGTCCTTGTCCCCAGGGCTGAGCAGATACAGAAGGAGGAATGGGACCAGCAGGCAGGCCCAGGCCTCTGTAGCAACAGCTCTGCCCTGAGCAGGACGCACTGGTGACACAGAGAATTGAGAACTGGAAAAAGGGCATTTTCCTTCTCATTTTGCTCATTCTGAGTATTCTCTCCAAACCAGTGCAGCCTCCCATGGGCAGCGAGGCTGGAGGAGGACACGTGTGGGATAATGAAGTGATAGTGCAGGAAGCCCAGGTGGTGATGAGGCATCTGTCACTCTTGCATTGGGTGGTACAGCATGAAGGGCTGGGCACTGACAAAACACCAAATCCAAGTCAAAGCTGCAATACAACCCCCAAAATCTTTGGCAGAGGGGCTGTGTCAGGCAGTTCCTGCTGCAGTTCCTGCCACAGCAGGGCTGTTTGAGGACAGCTCAGCTCATTCCAGCACCCAGGCAGATGCATTTACTGACCACAAAGGCCTCCTTTCCTCAGCAAGTACGAGTTGTACTTGTGATCTAAATAGCTCAGGTGGGACATCGTGATGGCCCTGGGGCCATCCTGGGGTAGTGCCACACAGGAAATGGAGCAGGAATGATTCCACAGAGCACACATCCAGAGCTGGAGGTGAACTGCTCCAGGTTGTACAGGAGTACAGCCACTGTTAAACTGTTTTACAGCCAGAAATATATATTTATTTTAAAAGGCACCATCTTCTGAGTACTTTGTGTCCCACATTCATGTTTTGCAGTTCTCTCTTGCTTCAGTTTCAAGTTGGTTGCCTCAGTTTGTCGATGACTTGTCACATTCCATCAGGCACATTCATTTCCTCCTGCAGAAAGCAACTTCCAGGCTGCTCATCCCCCCAGCTCCATGCTGTAAACCAGATAAAGCCCTTCGGGAATGTCCCAGGAGAATCCTCAAACCAGGGCAAACCACATATGTGTCAGCTGAGGGAAGCTTGTCACAGGGAGGAGGTGAAATACTCGGATATAATGATGCTATGGCTCAAAGTTTCTCTGTTTTCTCACTCAGGATACTTCTTACCAGGCCTCAGATGTCTGCACGGACCTGATCTTGTTTTGTTTTTCAGGAAAAGTGCAAAGCAGAGAAGGAAATTCAGAAGTGGGTCCAGAAATACGACACAGTCATGACAGAAAAACAGGTGTTGGCTTTAAGTGCTTTGCTCTGCCATAAGGTGATTTGTCTGGGTAGATTCCTGTCCAAAGGGACACATGGCTCTTACCCAGGAGACCATGGAAGTGAGGGGCAGTTCTGCATCCAGGTGAACTACAGGAGAGGGATCTTTGTCCTGCCTATGTGTCCAGGAGTTCTCTGCTGCTTTGGCTTTAGGAAAAGTTACACCCACTAGTAAAGCCCACAGTATCTGGGGGCTAAATCTGTGAAAAATCCCACAGTATCTGGGGGCAAATGGGTCACCATGTTCTGTCTGGGAGGTCCACCTGATGCCAGGAAACAGTTTTTTCAGTTTTGCTCCAATCCTCAATCCTCATGGCCATACCTAGTACCCAAATTCTGCTTCTGTTCCTGCTGAATCCTTGGGGGATGTGCTGGGTGTTCAAAAAACTCAACAGCCTGTCCTCACCTGAGCCATAAGAAGTTCAGGGTCACCCCCAAACCTTTCCTCTAGGAAGGCCCTGGGGGCTTTCCTGTTCTTGCAGTATTTATGGGGTTGGATAAAAGCTGCTGGATTCCTTACAGAGCAAAATGCAGGGAGGGGCTTGAAAACTGCCGCATTATAATTGTAAGGAATGATCCCTCTGTCAGATGTTTAATAATGGGGTTCTTTTGGTTTCCTCTCCATGGAGAGGCAGAAGCCCCATGTTTGGGGCAGAATTTGTCAAGGCAGACCCAGCCCCACACTGACAAAACATCAAAGCCAAGCTAGAGCTGCAATACAACCCCCAAAATCTTTGGCAGAGGGCCTGTGTCAGGCAGTTCCTGCCACTGCAGGGCTGCTTGTGTAGAGCTCAGCTCATTCCAGCACCCAGGCAGATGCATTGCTGGTTCTCCAAGTCTTCCATTTGTGGGAACATTTTTCAGGGGAGCATCAAGGGACCCAGCATTTCATGAAATTCCCTGGGTACTGGGCACGTGCCTTCCCTTTGAATCCCTCTGGAAAGGCTCCAACCAGTTGAGGTTCCATGGCTTTGGGATGGGTTTCATCCCAACCTGGGGATGTAGGGAGGAGCTGCTGACCAGCTGTCCCTGATCCCTGCTGTCCTGCCAGGCCACATATGAGGAGGTCCAGGCTGTCTACAACGAGGAGAAGAAACAGTTGTCCCTGCTGATGGAGAAACACGCAATCCTGCTCCAGGAGTACACTGAGATTGAGGAGGAGCGCAGGATGCTCAAGGAGAAGGAGGAGGAAGCTGCACGGGAAGAGGCCAGGAGGAACGATGCTGCCACCTGCATCCAGGCCTTCTGGAAAGGCTACTTGGTGCGGTCCATCTACAAGTCAAAACTGAAGAAGGGAAAGGGCAAGGGCAAGAAATAAAGCCCCAAATCCCTTTTCCCTCCATGGTAAAGCTGCTGTGTATGAGCTCTTCCAGATAAAAGCATTGAGAATTGTTAAGGTTGGAAAAGACTTTTAAGATCATCCAGTCAAGCCAGTACCACCATGTTCACCACTAACCCTCGTCCTCAAGTGTCACATCCACATGTTTTATGAACACTTCCAGGGATGGTGACTCTACCACTTCCCTTGGCAGTCTGCCCCAGGGCTTTAGGACCCTTTCCATGAAAAAAAGTTTTGTTAATATTTAATATAAACATCCCCTGGCACAACTTGAGGCCATTTCCCCTCATCCTGTCACGTTCTGCTTCTGTGGATTTGACAGCCCACTCCTGACTTTAGGGCACTTCCTTGCAGCCTCCCTTCCCAGGAGAGAGAGAAATGGCACTGGTGAGGCCCCTCTCCCCTCAGACATGGCCAAGAAAGGTGTGTTCCCTCCTTGGGAGCCACAAGAGATACTGGGATCCGTGAGACTTTGAGAAGTTGGCAGCCATGTGGATAGTCTGGAGTGCAGTTACATCAAGAAGGACATTCCCTGTCCAGATAGACTTCAGTTCCCAAAAACCTGCAGCCTCCATGGAGACCTTAAAGCCCCTTCCAGTGCCTAAAAGGGCTCCAGGAGAGTGGGAGAGGCACTTGGGACAAGGGGGAATGGCTTCCCACTGCTGGAGGGCAGGGATGGATGGGATATTGGGAAGGAATTGTTCCTTGGGAGGGTAGGCAGGCCCTGGCACAGGGTGCCCAGAGCTGTGGCTGCCCCTGGATCCCTGGCAGGGTCCAAGGCCAGGCTGGACAGGGCTTGGAGCAGCCTGGGACTGTGGAAAGTGTCCCTGCCCATGGCAGGGAGTGGAACTGGGATGGGCTTGAAGGTCCCTTCAGCCTAACCCATTCCATGGCTCTCTGAAAAGCAGCCTTTGGAGTGCAAAGCACTCTCAGGCTGTTGCAGACACAGGAGTGGCCCCACAGGCTGCCTCAGTGTCCCTGGTGCTCCTGGCTGAAGGACGCTCCAGGGAGGAATGGTCACCCAGCTGCAGAGGGGCAGGAGCTCAGCCCAGAGCAGCGCATGGAGTGTCCTTGCCGCTCGGAGCTGCCTAGCCCGGATCCCAAGGCTTGGAGCCCAGTGCCCGTTCTGGAGAGTGCCCAGGCTGGGGGAGCCTCCTGAGCCCCTGGCACAGCTGCAACAGTGCGTGAAGGTGATGGGTGCGGATAATGGGATCAGGGGGATCAGAGAGGATCAGGGAGATGAGCGAGATGTGATCTATGATTGGGGGGGGGAATGGAGAGAAGAGGATAAAGGGGAAGAAGGAAGGGGAAAGGGAAGACGGAACAAGGAAGGTAAGAAAGGCTGGGATGAGAAAGGAGAAGGGGGAAAGGGAAGACATTGGAACCACAGGCCTCCACAGTGCCCTGTGGACAGGCACCTCCTCAGGCACAAAATGCAGGCCCGTATGCTACTGGAGGGAGCAGGTGAGTGGGACGGAAGGATGAGGCTTCTCCTCCGAGCAGGGCAAGGAACAAGTTCCACCCTCCCCGCCGCCCCAGCCCCTTGGCACGAAATGGCGGCGGGGGGCCAAAATGGCGGGGGCGGGCTGAGGGCGGGGGCGGCGCGCGCCGTTCCCGCCCCGCCGCCGGGGGGCGCGCGCCTCCCGCCCCTCCCCTCGGCGGGGCGGTCACGTGACGCGGCGGCGGCGCCGCCCCCGCTCGGTGCGGACGGGCCGGGGCCGCCCCGGGAGCGGCGGAGCCTCGGCCGGGCCCCGCGGGGTCTATGGGGAAGGCGGCCGCGCTCTGCGGCGGCGGCGGCACCACCACCACCACCCGCGGGCTGGTCTCGCTCCTCAGCGCCGTCCCCTGCCTGGCTTGCCACGAGCTGCCGGCCATGAGCGCCGAGCCGGGCGGCCGCGGGGGCCCGGCGGGGGGACCGCCCGCCGCCCCCCCGGGCTCCGACACCTACAAGGGGTGGCTCTTCAAGTGGACCAACTACCTGAAGGGCTACCAGCGCCGCTGGTTCGTGCTCAGCAATGGGCTGCTCAGCTACTACAGGTACCGGGGCCGGGGGGCTGGGCAGGGGCCGCCGGGAGGGGGACAGACCGCGGGGGCTGCGCTGTTGCACTGGGAAAATCGCCTCGTGTTGCTTAGTTTGGGCTTTTTCCCCTCTGTTAAAGCCAAACTCGGGTTTTGATCCTGCAGAACCGCGGCGGGTCCGGTGGGGCAGCGGGGCCCCGGGATGCTGGAACGCCCTGGATCTCCCATCCTTCTCTCTCTCCATCCCTCCGCTGCTGCAGCAGCTCCGGCTGCCCAAATCACAGCGTTCCAGTCAAACCCCCCAAACCCTCTCCCTTAGCTGGGTAACCTGCTCCTGCTGCTGCTGCACCCTGCCAGAGCCCGCGGGACCTTTCCCCAGCAGTGCCAGCGGCTGCGGTGGCGCTGGAAGGATGGCCAGGGATGTTGTGCTGGGAATGTTGGGCTTGGGAAGCCAGGCCAGGCTGGGGGTGCGGTGCTGGGGGATGGAAGGGAGCTCCAGAGCTGCTCCGAGCCGTGCCGGGCTCCCTGCGCTGTCTGACGCGCTGGGTTTGTGCAGACGGGCTGTGCGGAGCGTGTCAGACACCCCGGGGCTCACTCCAAAGCAGCCTCATCTTCCTGACTTCTCCTGTGCTGCTTGCTCACTCGAGTGCTGAAAATACAAGTGGATGTTGGTGTTTTTATCCTCCAGGAAGATGTCCTTGTCTGTGTCAGGGGCGTGGAATGAGAGGAGCTTTAAGGGTCCCTTCCCACCCAGACCATTCAGGGCTTCTGTGATTTGTATCATATTTATTCTTGTCACTTGGAACACGAGTGCTCTGTCACCCTCAGTGTTGTGCAGCAGATGTTGGCTGTACTTCAGGACATGGAAATAATCCCGAATATTAGAGATGGTTAAGCTTTATAAAATAGTAAGTCTTTTAAGTGCCAAACCCCCTGAGATCGGAATTCTCTGTAAAGGTTATGCCAAAGCTGTTTTTCCTCCCGACATAAAGTTCATCATCTGATTTCCTCTCAGCTCCAGCTGCTGACACGTAGCCTGGAGCAGACTGTAGAGCTGCAGCTCCCTGTCAGATGTGAATGTAAGCTCTTCCAGCTCTAAGATAGACCGGGAATCTGCGTCCTGGGGTCAGACTGCAGCAGGTAACAGTGCAGAAGATAAACGATGTGTTTATCTACTTGGAGTTGTTGAAAACCCTCAAAGAACTTAAGCCAAGCAACCTCCCCCCAAAAAATGTAATTACCTCTCAGTAATTCAGCTAATTTACTGTAATCCTGTCTGGAATGCCTTAACTCTGCTCAAAAAGGCTGTTGGAGTTTAACACCCCATTTGTAACCATGTCAGAACATTATTTTTACGTGTTGATGCCAAGTCTGTCATGAGTGAACAAGTGGTTTTCTTCAACAATTATTTTACATGGGAACAACCAGGTTTATTTTGAGACCATTTGATCTGTTTTAGGCTGAAACAACAAACAGAAACACCCAAGGAAATTATTCTGAGCCGCATGTGAAAGAGTTGAAACTTTGTGAAGCTTTCAAGCAGGGCAGACCTTCAGCAGCTGCTTGGGGAAAGGGATGCTGGAGGATTTTGTGCTTCTTTTCATCTCTGGGCTTGATGACAACTGAATTAATTTGGTTGTGAGTCAGGAGTACAAAAATACAGTGCAGAACACGTGGTGAAGTCTTCCTTAAGTGGAGAAAAGCCTCCATGATACTCTTCAAAACCAGCGCTCCGAAATTGTGGCTGTGTCAGCTTGAATTGCTCATCTGGGAGTGCTCCTGGGAGACAGTCTGGGGTAAAAACTGGCAGTTCTGTTTTGATACGAATTCTACCTCCATGACAGGAGCCAGGCAGGTGTCAGGCTGCTGCCTGTTTGCTGATAAAGAGCGTATAGCTATATTTGTCTACCTGTATATATTCTATAGAGGTCTCTGTCATTCTGAGAGTCACGGGTCTTGCCTTCTGCTGGCTCTTTGTGCTCATCCCAGCTCAGCAGATCCACATCAGAAGTCTCCTTTCCTGCCCTTGCAGGTGAATTGCTCTGCTCTTCTTGTGTTGTACCTTTGTACTGCACAGCCCACCTGATTTAACTGTGGCTGCTCAGGAGCAGCTGTGTAGAAACTTCATTTTGCTTGTCTGCTAAAATTGTCTAAACTGGGAAAGCTGCCCCGTGGTGCCCAAGCTGCTGCCTTGCGTGGATTGATTTCATTCCAGGTTGAAGCTTTTTGTTCCATTTGGATTTCCTGCCACTCACTCTTTAGCTTTAAACCCCAGCCTGTCACGTTGCCTGGAGGATTTTGGCTTGCAGAGTTGAGCTGCTGAAATCCCGGGTGTCCCCTTGGTGTCCCTGGTGGTGCTGGTGTGTGGGTGGGTGCTGTGCCATCCTTTGGAGCTGTTCTGAGGGGTTTGTTTGCTCCAGCAGCCAAGTGAGATGCCTGTTTGCTGCCCAGTTGGTTTCACAGGGACAGTTTGCTGAATTAAAGCTTCTAATTACAGCATTTTTTTCCCAAATGGAGCATTTAAAGCCTCCTGTAGCTTTGCCACATCGATGAAGACATCAAGTCTTGCTGCCAGGGAAACTTCATGTGCCTTTGCTTTGTATTCCCTGTTCTGAACTTGTGAAAAGTAACAGCTGCTGATGAGTTCTTGAGGAGTTCCTGTGCAGTACCCTCCTCTGGAGGGAGGTGTGTGGGTTTAGGAAGTTTCTGAATCCACAGCAATATGGTTAGACCATTTTACTTGCCCTTGATTGGTCCTCCTGGGTTGTTTTTGACAAAGTTTTCTGGCTGATTCAGTGATGCTGGCGTGGGAAGGCAGTTTGGGGATGCAGGACTAGTCTGCTTGACTTGCTAATGATCCAAACTCTCTGTCTGAACTCCACTTGCAGGCTGCCACTCAGATTTATCATTATCTATAATTAGCGGCTCTGTATGGGAGAATCTAATCACCTTGAACAGATAAGTGTTTTCAAGGAGATTAGAGAGGATCTTCAGGTGAGTATTAATTCATCGAAGATCGGCGCTTGGCTGATGTGACC